GTGTTGCAGGAGACAGAAGAAGTCGCTGTGGAAGAGCCCGTGTTCGCCGGGTGCTTGTGTCTTAGGTTTTCGCTGGGTCGGTATAATGAACATCTTAGGTGCCAGTGCCTCCGAAGCCGAAGAAGCGAGCACAGACCTCAATTCCACTTCCAGCACATTTAATTGAATCCTTGTCCGGATGCCAAGGCCGTGGATGGAACCACTTTGGCCGTGTTCTTGAGTTGCATGGCTTCCTTCTTCAACGAATGCTCGCCGTGCTGAGGTCAAGGAACCGGAGGGACCACCTCCGAGAAAGTGCCGAAGGTGGCCCGTGGGGACCCCATTGCATGCATGCAAATTGGATTGTTTGCTGCTTCTCCTCGCTGCTGCTGCTGAGGCGGCAGGATCGAGCAGCTCTTGGGAGGTCGGTCTGCTATTGCGGCCGAGTTGTTTCGGTGCTTCTGAGATGTGACAGGGGTTGCCGATGATGGCTTGGGAAGCCAACTGGCAGGCCATGCTCACTTGGGCTCACGAGGGCACATGTGCATGCACACATCTAATATGAAATATATGTGTGTGTGTGTGTGTCTACATCTACATTTACATACATACATACATACATATACATACACATATACATACATGCATACATGCATACATACATATTATACATACATAATAGATAGACATTCTAATATATGCACATATACTTTCCCGATAGTGAACATTCAACATGCAATCCTGCCTGCGAGCTGATAGCCCTGCAGGCGAAGTAGTATATAGTCACATATACAAGGCAGTCTGTGTGTGTAGATATACACATAAATAATAGGGTTTGGTGTTTGGGCTTAGGATTTAGGATTTGTCCTGGTTCCGGTCAGCTGAAAGGTGGCTGTGCCCAATGCTGGCGGGATCCAGCAGTGGGGCAAGGACAGGGCCCCAGCTACTTTGGTTTGAGGTTTTTTTTTCCGTTGGTCACCGACTTGGATGCACGAGGGCTCCGGATACAAGGGGCAGCAGATGGTCAAGGCCGGGGAGTTTGTGGTGCCAAGCTCGTCTCGCAGGGCCATTGGCTCGCGAGCAGAGGGAAGCAACCATGAAGCTTGCAGGTGAAGGCACCGTGGGCAGCCACAGGCGCCAAGGCCGCAGGGCACCAGCTCTCCGGGTTCGTCGACTCGGAGGGCAATTGGTGGCCGCCGGGGGCCGGCAGGTGGGGTCCAGTCGAGGTTAGTGCACAGCGAACCCGTATTGTTCATGTTGCAGGACCCGCAGCCGGACAAGGGCTGGGCAGCAGGTTCAGATGGCCCGAGCCACTCCTGCTGCTCTTGCCCTGGCATCGGACAGTGTTGCCACGATTCGAGAGCAGGCGGGCTTCTGAAATCAGCAGTGGAATGTGGCTCCGAACATAAGTGTTTCCGTGCTGCAGACCCAGTTCCAGAGGGAGCTGCTCTCCTTCGCGATGCAGCAGAAGCCCAAGTGAGGCAGGCTTTCATGGCTTTGCAAATGATGACATGTGCCCCACCGGAGCCACCACCCACCACATCCCTGGCCCCGACATGCAGCAACACTGTGTAAATGGGACAACCAGCACTTTTATCGATCTATATGGGTGCGGTGGCCGGGGTGACCACGGAAATATCGATCTATAAAGGCGGGGTGGTGGCAATGGCACGGCCAATATCGATCTATAATTCTGGTCTGGCCGGGGTAACCCCCCGGATATCGATCTGTAAAAATGTGGCCGCCGAGACCAAACCGGGAATATCGATCTATAAAAAACTGGGTTTCGAGGTTCCGGGCCCTTGTGCCCCCAAACTCAGCAAGCCTGGCTGTACAATGGCCGGGTTGGGCTATCGGGACGGGCCCCTGGAGTGGGTGTTCCATGACTCAACAACAACATCACGGCTGCTTCGCTTGTGCCTGTGTTCATCTCTAGCCTTCCCGTGTTTCCTTGGACCGGCTTCATTCCAGATTGCAGGTGCCTGGGACATGGATGCCGTCTTCAAGTTTTGCATCCTTATATGCTTGGTTCTCAGACACCAAATCTTGGGCACCATGGGCATTGATGAAGCCTGCATGCTCGTGCAGGTCCTGGCCCTGTGGCTTCTTCCGTGATCTTCCTACTGAGCTCTGCCGGGTTGGAGCCTGGACCGAGACTGTGCTGTGGGCTTCTATATATGCATGTAGACCTGCAATGTAGGTGGCCTGATACTTTAGGGACCTTCAGGCCTCGGCTTGTGGCTGCTGCCAGGAACATGTCATCCTGGCTCTAGCTTCACTATATTTACATAATATCTACATATGCACACACACACATACACTCAAAACCTAAATAAATGGGCACGGTACATGTTCCCTGCTTGTGGCTGCAGCCGAGGCTATGGAAGCACTGGCATTTAAACTAGACACATATACATGTGCCAGCCCGTGTCTTGGTCTGGGTGGGCTCTTCTTGCTGTGGACTAGCCGAAATTGGCCCCGGGTCCAGCCCTGTATACGAGCATGCAGTAGCCGTGTCGCGAGTCCGACTGCAAAAGATTCGGGATGTCTGCCGGCGAGCATGCACTGCCCTGCCCTGGCGATTTCCTTGTGTTGCATGCTGTGCATTGCAGTGAGGGCAGAAGAGACAAACGAGAGAAAACAGCACAGGGCACAGAACTATAAACATTAGCTTGCAAGGTAACCTGCAACTGTGCAGTCGCCTCCCCCTCTCTCTCTCATTCTCTTACACTCTATATCACTCTTGATTATATCCTTTTTGTTCTTATACATATACTAACACTATAGAGCTATATGTATATGCATATATATATATATATACATACATACATACAGATACAGACATATATATATATATATATATACATATACATATATATATGTATATACACATACATTGTTATAGTTTATACATATACATATATATACATTGTAGACATAAGCTCTATAATATATGTATACACACATATTATACATATACATATATACATATATACACACACATATATATATATATGTATACATGTACACATGCATATATATATATGTATGCACTATAGATGTGAGTTGTATGGTTGCCACAATAAACATATGCTAAATACTGTATATACATGTATATAGGATGAATATATATATATATATATAGATAGATATATATATATATAGATAGATAGATGGATAGATAGATATATGTATGTGTATATATATATATACACATATCTACGAGTTGCTTGGTTGCTCGCTTGTTTCATTGTTGCTTCTCTGGTGTGCAAAACAAGCAATGACATTCGGCACACAGCCAACCAAGACACGAAGACACAACAATGACATCGTCGTCAGCCCTTGTTTCCGGATGTGGCATATTTCTCGGTACAAGTGGTCACCAGGACTGCATGTGCGGTCCTACATGATGTGCATGTGTGTTCTTGTTGTGCTTCTGTTGCTGTGCTTTCGTGTGTATCTATATACTGCTGCTGTCTTTGTGTGTCGCCATTGCTGTGCACGTCGGTGTCTCGCTGTGCCTGCATGCATGTGGCTGTCTTTGTGCACTGTGGGACTGCTTCTGTGTCTCTCTCTGTGAGTGTCATGTGTCTTGGCTTTGTGTTTTCATGTTCTCTTGGTGTCTTGCGATCGAGACGACACAGACAAAGAGACAGAGGCATGCATGACCGTCATGTATTGACACATGTGCCCAAAACAGGAAGTACAGAGACATGCACAACAGACATGCATTCAGATAAACCAAGCAGGCATGGGAGGGATCGAGGCAGGAGGAGGAGGGAAGCAGCCAGAGAGCCATGGATATATAGGAGGTGGGCATGGCTGAGGCAGCTTATATAAGGGGCCGGAGGGGATGGTGACTGGAGAAAAGGACGATGGAAGGAACAGGGAGTTTAGCTTCGGCTGCAAAAGACAAAGGAAACGAAGTGAGGATGCCGGCACACCACACATAAGACATGAGAGCGAACAACTTCAAATCATGTCCGGGTGTATCTAGTCTGTATACGGAACTATCATATATATATATATGTATATATGTATATATATATATATATATGTATATATATATATATATATGTATACATATGTATATATATATATGTATATGTATATATATATATATATATACTTTGGAGAAGGAGAAGCAAAAGCCAGAGACAGAAAGAGAGAGAGAGAGAGAGAGAGGAAGAATCCAATTTCGGATTCTTCCTCTCTCTCTCTCTCTCTCTCTCTTTCTGTCTCTGGCTTTTGCTTCTCCTTCTCCAAAGTATATATATATATATATATATATATATACATATACATATATATATATATACATATGTATACATATATATACATATACATATATATATATATACATATATACATATATATATATATATATATGATAGTTCCGTATACAGACTAGATACACCCGGACATGATTTGAAGTTGTTCGCTCTCATGTCTTATGTGTGGTGTGCCGGCATCCTCACTTCGTTTCCTTTGTCTTTTGCAGCCGAAGCTAAACTCCCTGTTCCTTCCATCGTCCTTTTCTCCAGTCACCATCCCCTCCGGCCCCTTATATAAGCTGCCTCAGCCATGCCCACCTCCTATATATCCATGGCTCTCTGGCTGCTTCCCTCCTCCTCCTGCCTCGATCCCTCCCATGCCTGCTTGGTTTATCTGAATGCATGTCTGTTGTGCATGTCTCTGTACTTCCTGTTTTGGGCACATGTGTCAATACATGACGGTCATGCATGCCTCTGTCTCTTTGTCTGTGTCGTCTCGATCGCAAGACACCAAGAGAACATGAAAACACAAAGCCAAGACACATGACACTCACAGAGAGAGACACAGAAGCAGTCCCAGACACCGACGTGCACAGCAATGGCGACACACAAAGACAGCAGCAGTATATAGATACACACGAACCTGGCCCGCCGATATGTCCAAGCAAGGCTCAAAAGGATTGATTGCAAAGATCGGTTGCAGGGCTTCAAGCTCGCAAACAGATCGACATGTCTGCTGCCACAGCCATGGATCAGTTGAAGGGGGATTTGGCTGCTACAGCCAATTTTCTCCAGTCCATGACTGCACTCCCGAACTACGACAGTGTTAGAGAGGTGCAAGCAAAAGCCCTTTGCCAGCGAGTGAAGAACCTTGCCTCCGTGGATGCAAATGGAGCCTCAGCCCTGCTGGCTGCATGGACTGCAGGAAAGCAATGGACTTCTCAACAAACAAAGGAGTTCAGTGATCTCTTGGCTGGAGCAGTAGCTAGAACCAACACCGGGACAGGTCAGGGTGGCAAGAGAGCTACTCAGAAAGTTGATGCTTTCGAACCTTACCTGTCCGTCAAAGATATCCAGGCTTTGGAAGCTGGTGACAACATCCACGTGAAGTTGGATGTCTTTGCATGCCGGTGCATCAAGCTGAGGCTCACCTGCCCATCTGAGGCTTGCTGCAAAGCGATCTTGGCAGCTGGCTTGGCCAGGGCAGGCGGTGATGTGGGGGCGGTTGACAGCTATGCCAACAAGCAGTTGTTCAAGAAAATGCTGAAAAGCAAAGCCAAAGGCTTGCCCAAGAATGGCTTTCACCTCGAGCATTATCCAGCATCGCCAGACAATCTGCCCCCTGAGCTCGCCGATGCATACTCTCAAGAGGATCCTGCATGCACTGTGCAGATGCAATCTCCCGACAGGGTGCAGGCAGCATCATCTGCAGTCGTGTTGAGAGGGAGCTCGAAGAAGCTTCGTGGTGGAAACATGATGGGTGCCGGTGGCATGCAGAGCTGGCCTGCAAGTGGCAACAACAACCCCATGAACATGCAATTCAACATGGGCCTGCAAGGAATGCAGCCCGGGATGACGATGATGGGTATGATGAACACCATGAACAACATGATGCAGAGGCTCATGCAGGACCAGAATAGGCAGCAGCAGGACCCGATCCCGAACATGCAGTACTTCGCACCCGGTGGAGGTCAAGCGGGGGCAACCACCATGGGCCAGGGGCCTGCAGCAGGAACCCAGGCACCTGCAGCAGCAACCCAGCAGGCACCCGCAGGGGCATCTGCATCGGTCCAGCAAACAGCAGGCGGCAACGAATGCATCAGCTGGTGTCTCGCCGGCAGTGCAGTTGGAGATGAGTGATCCTGAAAACGACGAGGCCGACGAGGCAGAAGTGTTGAGGCAGGCTGGGCTCGTTGCAGATGCAGTCAACAAGAAGAAGGGGATTCTTAAGAAGCCTGCAGGCTTGCCCAAGGCAAAGGCAAAGGGCAAAGCCCATGCCAAAGCAAAGGCAGCCAGTAAGGCCAGTGCCAAGGCCAGTGCCAAGGCCAGTGCAAAGGCCGTTGCAAAGGCCAGTGCAAAGGCCAGTGCAAAGGCCAGTGCAAAGGCCAAAGCCGCCCCGGCCGGTAGCAGAGAATACTATGCCAATCTTTCCATGAAGAAAAGGGTGAGCCTTCGCCCGAATGGTTGCAGCAAATGCAGATTCGCACCAGGCTGCAGGCCCAGCTGCTTCTGTAAGTAATAGCTGCTTGCCCGATTCAAATGACCGGCTCGATGAGTGGGGAACTCGTCGACTGCAGCACAGAGGGAGGAAAAGATCATCATGCAGGCATGCACTTATGCACATCATGTTGCCTCTTCTGCTGCATGTGTGTGTGTGTGTGTCTTGCCAGGCAGCATGTAAACCTGAGTGATCGGATCGGCTTGCAGATTGGTCTGATGCTGCATTGCAAGTATAAATATCTCCTGTATATATATATATATATATATATGTATATATATATATATATATATATGTATGTATATTACATACTTACACACACACACATATATATATATATATATATATACATATATATTATATATACGTGATATTATATATTGGTAGATATAGTCCAGCCATTATAAGAAATTAGTTGTATTAGATCGTGTGCATACATTGTATCATACGTGCATCCAGAGGTTTTTGTTGTGTTGAAGAAGGTTTCGTGGGGACAAGGATTTATAGACAGGTTGACACATGTTGTATGTACAAACATATTTATTGTAAGAATTGTTACTTCTAATATCCGGTGCCTGCAGGGCATTTTGCTCGCGGGCAGCCATCTTTATAATCTATGTCGCTCGCTACCATCGGCAGAAAGCACTATGTGAGCCAGAGTGCTCTGGAGGCAGTACTGAAGGAAGTGGCTGCATGCCCTGAAGTCCTTGACTCAGCCTCCCGGCGAGGCATCAAAAGGGCACGGGATTCCGAGCTGGAGGCAGAGACTCCTCATGGCCCTTTGGTGGCCAAGATTACAGTACCTGTGGAGGTGAAGAGCCGAAAGGCAGCTGGAGACGAGGAGGTGAAGATCGTGCCGACAGAGCTGCCGATCCTCAACCTGATGGCATGGATATGGCATGTTTGCCAGTCCATGCCTGGTGTAGCTGCCTTTTTCCAAAGGCAGCTATCGAAGTACCCGTGCACAGCAACCAGCCCATGGCGAATGGCTTTATACAATGATGAGATTAGTCCTGGCAACCAGCTAAAAGCCAGCAACACCAGGAAGATCCAAGGGTACTACCTCAGTTTTCTCGAGTTTGATGCTGAAGGCCGATGCCAAGAAAACCTTTGGTTTCCTTTGAACTTGACTCGGTCTTCGGTGGTCAACAAGATCCAAGGCGGGCTGTCTGCACTCACCCACATTCTGGTCTCCTCGGAATCGTTCCTGAACCTCCAGTCGGGCTGTTTGCTGAACATGCCAACCGGGGAACGGGTCATGTTCTTCGCGAAACTGCATACTGTAGTTGCAGACGAGGCAGCTTTGAAGTCTATGTACGACTTCAAGGGCTCCAGTGGGACTTTGGTTTGCCCGCTATGTGCCAACATAACAAGCAAGACCCACGGTGATCTGCCAGCAAATGACCACTCGGGAGAATTGCATGACATATCATGCATCGACAGCAATCTGTTTGTCCGCAGAACCGACAATCAGATCTTCACTGCACAGGCACTGCTGGCGAGAAGGCAACCCATGCTGAGCAAAAAGGATTTTGCCTTGCTGGAGTCCAGCATGGGGTTGAACTTTAACCCATCTGGAGTGCTTGCTCACAAAAGCATGCCGCTTGTGAAATGCTTGATGTGGGATTGGATGCATTGTTATGTGGTAAGCGGCCTCCTGCACGTGGAAGCGAGCTTACTCTTGCCACTCTTGCATGTGCAGGGTGCAACATTTCAGGTGATCCAGAGCTTTATCTCAGAGTACGAATGGCCTCACAACCTGAAGAACCGGAGAAGAGAAATCTTGCATTTGTTCGACAAAAGGAGCAAACCTTCTGAGTTCAAGGCCGGGGCTTCGCAGTGCATCACTGTCTATCCCTTGCTGCGGCTTTTCTTGCTGACTCATCACTTTGACACAATGGACGACGAACTTCGGCGATGCATCAGATCCTTTATGAAGATTTGTATGGTTCTCGACCTCCTGCTTGAATGCAATCGGACTGGGAACCTGTCGGCGGACGAGCTCGAGAATGCGATTCGGGCCCATAGCCAAGCTTTCCTTAAAGCATATGGAGAGCAGCACTGTATACCGAAGTTCCACTACAGCCTCCATCTTCCCCTGATGGCTCGAGACAGGCCTCTCATTTCGTGCTTTACACACGAACGAAAGCATCGGCAGGTGAAGCAGTTTGCTGACAACACGAAGAAAGTGACCGATTGGTTCGAAGCTTCACTCTTTAAAGATGTTTTGGGCAGGGCCCTTCTGGATCTGTCTGAGCATGCTGGCTTCATGCGGCCCCATTTGAAATCCCCCAAGTCTGTCACTGATGGCGCTTTGCTGTGGCACCTGGGGCAGACATTCGGGTTTCAGACTCTTGAGCATGTGCAGTCGGCCATGCTGGCCGAGGTCTGCCCAGGACAGACTTGCGAGAGGGGTGACCTGGTGCTGCTTAAGACGGGGTCCGTTGCAGAGGTGTGGTTGTTTTGCCGGTTGCAGCATGGCGAGCTCCTGGCTCTGTTGAGTGTGCTTGAGCCACAAGGGAAGAATCTCTTCCGGGTCAAGCAGGACGGAGCCCAGTTCATGCGAGTGGCCGAGATCAGTCGAACCTGCCTCTTCAAACGCATGAGTGCAGACAGCATGCTGGTCGTGCCATAAAAAAGATTGTTGTGCCTATGCCTGCGAGCGAATCGCCCTGCATGGCGACACATGAATTGTCACAATTTTTCATGTTCTGATCCTGCCTGCGAGCGAATCGCCCTGCATTGCGACATTGGATTTTTCATCATCCTCATGGGCATCATCATGGTTTTAAGGTGCTGTTAGTAAAATGCTAACTTCGTTAACTGTGTTTGGCTAACTTCTGTAATTGTACCTTGCTAACTGCACTTAGGTCACTTGCTATGTTAGACTAGCCATCCCCACTAAACTGTACAATCGATTACTAACTTATGTATCTACTTATTAACCCACCGCCCTTAGAAGTATTTGCACTATTCCATAATATTCTGCTTGCAACGGTGCGCGCCGGGCGCGCGCGCCCGGTGCGCGCGCCGGGCGCCGGGTGTGCGCCGGGCGCGCGCGCCGGGCGCGCGCGCTGGGCGCGCCGGCGGGCGCGTGCCGGACGTACAGGCGTACGCGCGAAGTGTAAGCGTGTACTATACTATATTTACACTATTCCATAATATTATGCTTGCAACAGAATTTACACATGTGCGCGCAGCGGGTTGCGACGGGCGCGCAGGAGTACATGTGGCGGTCGTTTACCATCCAAAACCAAATATACCCAGGGTACGCGCGCCGGGTGTGCAGCGGGCGCGCGCCGGGCGCGCAGCGGGTGCACGCTGGGCGTGCCGGACGTGATAATACAATTCTTTACTTGAAGGATCATGGGGGTTACTATATAGATAGTGGACTTATACAAGTTAGTGCCAAACTTAGAGCGGTTAGCCAAGTCCAATTAATGGACTTAGTAAGTGAGAGATAAGGGACTTAGGTAAGTCCAGATGGAGCAGTTAGGTAAGCTGACTAAGTCAGTTAGCCCAGTTAAGACGATGAATATAGCAATGGTATTTTGTATCTATATATACATACATATACACACATATACCGAAGAAGCTCACCGTGAAAGCATCGCACAGCATGCAATTGAGGCCCTCGGGCTAAAGCAGAGATGCACCAGCACATGAAAAGATTGAAAGCTAAAAACCTGCATCAACACCGAAAGCCGACACCAGCCTCAAGCTGAAAAAATTCTTGAAAGAAAGATCTAAAATTCTTGAAAGAAAGATCTAAAGCCGATACCATCTTACAACACATCACCGGCTCCATCATATTATGCGGGGAAGCCCTTCGAAGTTGCCCATGTTCGCAAACCATTACATAAACATCGAAATCAAGCTACATACCAGTTATGAATAATAGACACCGAAACCGACATCATATGAGCATAAACACAAGTAAACCTAAGCCAATATTATTATATCAGCCCCCCAAACCCTGCATTCCCAAGCATCTGGTGGTTGCCGACGTCAACAGCACCTGCGAGGGAGGGCTTTATGTGAACACAAACATGAAGCACAGCACGAGTTCGAATGCAGGGCCGTGGGCTCGCATGCAGGATCATGCACTTTTGCAGCTCACTCCAACAACACGATGGCATCGTCGCCCTTGCGAGACCAGATGCAAGCCGAAAAAATGCATGCCGTGTTGATGAAGAAACTTTCGTGCTTCACACGGTACATGTGATCGGCCACATGGCTCCATGGACTCATGCATGTGAGAGGCAGGCCGTCAACCTCAACATGAAAGTGAATCATGCCGACAACGTGTTCCTGTGCATGCTTGGCTCTGACGACATCTCCATGGGAGCACCGGAATCCTCCGCCATGCAATGCTGCCTGTGCTTGAAACACACCGTCGGAGTTGCCGAACACATCCCGGATCAGGCTGGCCATTGCCTTTGTGCACCGTCTCTTGCCGATGAGTCGCACATCCCCTTGAGGGAGTTCGTCCTGCATCGCAAGGAACTGAGCTGCAAGGGTCTCGCGAAGGACGGTAGCTTCGTATGATCTGGAAGTGTTCTTCATGTTGTTTGCGAACCTCTTGACCAGTTTGTGTTTCCTTTCGTGCACGAAGCACGAAAGGAGCAGCCCATGTCGAGACAAGAATTCGGGTAGGTGCATGGTCATATGGTTCTTCGGAACCCAGTACTCTGCCCCGTAGTTGGCGAGGTATAGTTCGCAATGCTCCTTAATGGCACCCCTGAGGGCAGCAGGGTCCAAGCCACCCTGAGTGGCTTTCCTCAGCATGCGAAGGATTTTGCACAAGGTGAAGAATCCGTGACAGCAACTCTTCAGGGAGTCGTCAGCATCCCTCCAGACGAAGAGGATAAGGAACAACTGCAGGACCGGCAGGAAATTAAGGAGCTCGGAGGCTTCTGCTTTCACCGGGGCAGTCTTGTCCTCTCGCTTTTTGGCGAGAACTGACTTGGCATCCGCACCAGCGAATTGCACCGGCCAATGGAAGGATTGCACGAAGTCGTGTATCTGTTGCTCGGGAAAGCCACTGTCTCGGAGGCGGCCTAGCAACACCCCAACCTCGTTACCGGCCACACCGTGGACCAAGTAAATGTGGAACCAATCGAACATGATCATCTCCGGAATGTTGTGTCCTACATTCGACATCAAGAGGCCTCCCGGCATGTAGTTGTAGCCCAAAGCTTTTTCCATTGTTTGGAAGTCCTTCTGGGAAACCGTGCCATGTTGGGAAGAGAGGTACCTCATGATTTCACCGACCGACTGTTTCGTGTGCAAGCGAAACTTCGTGAAGTCAGTGCATGTCGACGAGAGAACATCGCCATGGTCCTGTAGCCCGCTTCGGTGGGCAACGACATTCGCACATCTCATACAAAACACTGTGCCCGAGGCACCTTTGCTTTCAGCTGTTTGTTTCAGGGCTGCCTCGTCCGCTATAAGAACAGAGAGGTCGGCAAAGACGGGAAATGCTGTGGTGGATGTCTGCAGCACCACACCATGCCTCATGTCATGATCCATGAACATGTGCTGGATGGCATGTTTCCAAAGCACAGTGAGGCCGCCGATCCGATTGCAAAGAGTGCTTCTCAGTATACACAAAGGGAACCAAAGCCACTCCGAGGCCAGATCTTGCCCGTGCTGGACGATGGACCAGTAGATGACTTGTAGTTTCCTGGCATTCAGCGGTTTTAGCTGATTGCCGGGACTAACTTCAGCAGCATATTTTGCGATGCCCAGCTTGTCTCCAGGGCTGGACTGGCCACACTTTTTGAGCAGTCCATGGTAATGCTCGTTGGCGATGCAGTGCTGCAGCAGCACAACAGGTGGCACGAAGGGAACCTTTACAAATTTCGTGTCATCGCTCTCATGTGGGATGTCCATGTTAATGATCATCTGCCCAAAGGCATTCTCCCACGACTTCTCTTCACCATCCCTCGCTCGCTTAATCGAGGCTCGCGAGGTGGTAGCAAAATCGTCGGCGAGGAAACCGGTCTTCTTCAAATCGCTGAGCACGGATTCCAGACCTCGTTGTGATACAAACACCTTCCTCCCCAGGCTTGCCAAAGGTTTGGAGCTGGAGCTGGATGTCATGATTCGGGCAATGCCCAAGCTTTGCAGGAATTGGTCCTGGCCACGAGCCAAGGGCCCTGCAGCACGGACTCTTTTAGTGTAGCTTTGTTGGCGATTTTCCATGCATGGATGAACTGTCACACACATGTAAAGTTTGCAGCACAATACTCCGAATATATTATGATCGAACCCCAGGAACCTTCAGCTTTAAAACACCAACAGACTACACAATACATTTCCTATATGTATACATTATATGATATACAGACCCACTATATGTATAGTTTAAACTCTATATATAAATATGTACCAATCGGAAACCCCGAACCTGTATATAGGCTCTGAGATATACACTATGAACCCTTTCACGACACACATCCTCTATAACACTGCACAGGAGCTCCAGCTTCCATTCCATGTCACATGTCAGGGCACACATGCATCGGCCACATTTTGAGATGCTCTTGCTGCAGCCCGTGTGCAGCCGGACTTCATAATGCATGAGTGAGAGTGCCTGAGACACGATGTGAATCAGGAGTCTCTACTTCAAAAAGCAACTAGGGCAGCAGCCTCGCTTCCATCGGCACTTTGCACATCCTGATGGCCTCATTCGAACTCGTTCATCCCAATCCGGAACCTTCTTGGCACCCTTGGACTTGGGGGCAGCCTTGGCCTTGGTCTTCGCCTTCGCCTTAGCCTTAACCATCGGCTTCGTCGTCGCCTTGGCTTTGGCTTTGGCTTTCGCCTTGCACATGCCCTTCGCCTTTGCCTTGGCTTTGCTCTTTGGCTTTGCCTTGCCCTTCGCCTCGGCCTTCTCGCTGCCACCCTCCGGATCACCAGCCTTGCCATCCTCGGCTTTCTTCTTGTTCTCCTCTTGACGATTCTTCCAGCTGGAGAGCATGGTGTTCACCTGCTCTTCCGGAGTCATAGGCGGCTGAGCTTGCTCCGGCTCTGCACGTGCTGGACTCGATGCTGCATCGGGTCCATTCGTGATTGCGAGGGTTTGCTTCGGCGGGTTCGTCTTGGTGTTGTTCATGAAGATGTTCTGCTGGCCGGACATGCCAGCCTGCTGTGCACCTGCGAAGACATTGAACATGTGCTGCATGCTCTGGAACCCTTGCATCATCATATTCGCCATGTTGTTCTGCGAAGGCACCTGAAGGTCTAGAGTAGGAACCTTCTGGTTGTTCTGGCTCTTCAACATCGCAGAAGACTTTCGAACTGGACCGATGGACCCACCCAGGCCGGCATGTCCGGACGGCCCTTCCTCACCATATGCTCTCGTACACACATCGGAGGGTAGATCTGCCGGTGTCGTGAAGTTGTGCACATGGCTCGTCGACCCACTGGGATTGGACTTGAAGTGCGACTTCAAGGCTGCTTTGAAATCCTGAACTGTGTTGTAAAACACTTGAGGGTCCTCGAGTTCCTTGAGGCCAAAGTCGTTCTTGAGCACTCCCACAGCTCGGCCCGAAGTAGGCTCCGTCGGGCAGCTGCAGTTGATGCTGCAAAACATCACGGCCATCCGACTTGCCTTGGCCTTAATGGTGTGGTCTGGGTTCGAGATGAAGGTCACATCCGAGGCCCGGAGGAAACTTCCCGGGTCGTCCATGGTCTGCATGGACTTCTTGCTGCCCTGTGATTTGGGTGTGCTGCATGCCACGAAACGATCACCGATCTGCCGCATCAGCTCGTCCTTCTGACTCTCGGTGAAGTTCAAGGACTGCACCGTAGCGAACAGTGTCTGGACTTCTGCTGAATCCGTGAGCCGGAGACCCGAAATCTGCTTCTTGGCAGACTCCATACAGGACTCGATCATCCGGTCTTTCGTTGTCTGGTCTGTCATGGTCTCTGCGAGTGAGGAGATGGTGAGCAGTTGGTCGCCCAAGGCTTTCGAAGTCGCCATGCCGGAAATCTGAGTGTGGAATACCACAAAAGTGTTCGAGCACTCCATGCATGCACGTGCAGCCATGAAGGAGGCAATGCATCATGGATGTATACAATGCCATGCATGCATGCATGTGCTCCCTTTTGAAACACCCATGCAATGCATGTTCCTGCCTGCGAGCTCCTACAGCCCTGCGAGACGAATTGTGAATGTGTGATCTATATACATGCCATGTCATCTGCAGTTTCAAAGAAGCACACATGCGAGCACTCCAGAGTGCCAACCGGCTGGATCAAAACGAATGCCCCCTGTCGGTACATAGTGCCAATTAAGGTATACAATGTGTAGCATCATATACACAAGCACCAGTGAAGGCAGACTGTGGAATCGACCGAACATAGCAACACAAAGAAAGCTTCAGACTGCATGCGACATGCACTCGACCCTCCCTATGACTTCTGCGGTCGCCAGCATTTTCCTTCAAACTCACACCTGCTCAGCTAAGTCTTTCTGTACAAGGCAAGAGACTTCGAGAAGGGCGCCTGGCATGGGAGCTCGCATCTGTATACTAAAGTAGATGTAAGAATATACATATATATATATGGCTATATGGACAGCTATAGATATCTATGGAGGAGAGCAACAAAATACTTATATATATGTATACGTGAATATATATATATATATATATATATATATATATATATATAGAAGTATATAGAAGTATATATAATATCTATATATATATATATAGAGATATATATTCCCAGCTCCCGTAGTCTACAGGCGAGGCCCGAGCCGTGCTGTACATGGCTTGCCAACGGTGCAGGATTACACCCAGCCACTCCTACAGTATAGTGTGCGGTCCGAAAACCCAAATATGCAGCAGCATGCACAATCCTGTATAGCAGCAGTTGCAACAGGCACCCGAAATATAAAGCTGCTATCGGTGTTTGTGTGTGTACCTCATGCACATGCCCGTCTTCCTATGTCCGAAAATCCTTCTATAAAGTCACATATAGTTTCTACATCACAAGAGAATAAGAAACATATAATATAGACACATGCATATATGTGTACAGCTACATGGGTTGTACACATACATACAAATACATATATATATATATATATATATATATATATATGTCTGCACAGACATATCTACATGGAGTATATAATGTCCATATTCTAGATATACATACATACATATCACACATACAGACCTATATATACACATAAACCACGATCCCTCGTCCTCCGAAAACAATGTATATGGTATATACCCCAAATATACACAGTGTGGCTATACATGCATATAGCAATACCCTCGTACATCTTAGATGATAATGTACAAGCACAAATCGTATTTTCCTGAACACAGAAGCCCGTGAAACCAGAAACCCAGCCCCCCAGGCCGCCAGGTGCACGAACCAGAAGCACGAAAAGTCTGAACCCCAGGGTCACGACCACTAGGCGAAACCCTCTGCTGCTGGGCTGGAACAGATCTGCACCGGGACAACCCCGATGTTTCCAAGACCCTGCCACAAACCCTTTGAAGCCTGCCAGGGTAAAGGTTTCAGATGGTTCGGGGTTCGGGGATTAGGGTTGATGGTTTGGGAGCAACGGTTTAGGAGTTGTTTTTTGATTTTAAGTTGGGGTTTAGGTTTTCGGTCACAAGGTAATAGATCTACAGCTGGGAATCACCATTTTTATCGATCGATAAATTTGGGATGGGTCCAGGGCACCGAGATTTATAGATTGATAAATCTGTTGGTGTATTCTAAGGCCTGGGCCTACCATTTTTATTGATCTATAAATCCTGGGCTGGGGTTAGGCTACAATTTTTATCGATCGATAAATCTGGGCTGGGTCCAGGGTCCCGGGTTTTATCAATCAATAAAAACCGGTCTGTGGCCAGATCCCATACATCGGGCTGTGCAGCCAGCTAGGACACCGCAAAAGCACACGAGGACCTGGGTCGGAAAGGTTGGGAAGACTGTGCTCCGAAGCCTTTGCGAGTGCCTATACAGCACTGTGCCAGTGCCTATGCAGCAGTGCCCCACTATTGCCAGAGTCCTGAGGCTACAGTTTTTTAGGAACCAGCACCGGCTCCCCAACCCCCTTTCAGAGGCAAGCCCCGCCGGCGCCAATTTCAGGCAGCCCACCGGCTCACTTGCCGTGGCCACCAACCTTGTCCTGCCACCGAAACACAGCAGCAGGGCAGTGCTCGCTGCTAGTGACTGCATGCATGGGTGGTGCACATGTAATGTCACGAAAGCCTGGTCCAGCATGTGGTCGATGAGCCTCGCCACACTTTCGGACTGTGTCGAGACCTGAGAAGACATTCTTGTAAGGTCTGGGGCTTAGGGTGTTTATGTGGGGTTAAGTGCATGCTGGGGCACCACCGACCATGCCAGATTCGCCGCCCCCTGGCCCCGACTCCTGGCTCTTGTCCGGCCAGCACCAGGCCTCATCCAAAAGCTTGCTGGTTTCTGTTTTTATGAACATGCATGCAGTCCTCCTTGAGTGCCGGGCGGGTTCCACTTCTCGCCATCATGATAAAAGCCGCCCACCCTCCAGCCTGCACCGTCCTTCTGGACGACCCCCGAAGGCGGAGGCGGCGGTGTGCTCGAGGACGAAGCCGATGGGTTCTAGCAAGGACAGCAAACAAAAACCCACGAAGGCATCAAGGAGACCAGGCAGACCCCTCCTTGGTGGCTGGAGCCGGGGGTGGCGGTGGGATCCATGGCATTTTGCCCTGGCAAGCAGGCAATGACAAGGCCCCCCCCCCGCCCATCTCAAGAACACAAGAGGCCTTCTTGGATTTCGGCGGCGGCTCCTTGGGCTCGGCCGGCTTCTTGCAAGCCTGCCATACACAACATGTTTTGTACACCGCAACACACATGCAATCCTCGCCTTGACCGGGATCTCCCTCGGCCGCTTCTTCGGCTTAGGAGGCATCCATTCCTCCCGAAGTCGTTATTTTAAATGCAAGACCACGAACACAGCGACACTGTCCTTCTTGTCGGGCTCCTCACATGTGACCTCCTCCATCTCGCCGTCTTCTTCCTGGTTGTTTTGAAAGTGCAACTACAACTCACATCGTTCAACCTGGGCACTGAGTGCAGTACCTTTGGCCGATCCGGCTCCTTTTCCTTCTTCAGCTCCTCGTAGTCCGTCGCATCGATCTCCTCACACCAGACCGAAACACACATGAAGTTCACTTCTTTGCTCTAGGCCCGGGCCTGGAGCACAAGCCCAGCAGGGCACCACGTGCCCTCCCAATCCTGGCACAGCCAGCCTGCCGAGACTGAGATAGCACAAATAGGCTCGGGGTTGGGGGTTTTCATGTTTGATTGAAGGCTTTTGGCCTTTGTGGTTGTGCTGTATAGTGTGTATATATAGTTTATAACATATATGTATGTGTATATATATATATATATATGTATGGGCATATATATACATATATATATGTCTCGCACATACATACATACATACATACATACACACATACATGTGTATACAGATGTGTGTGTATGTATAAATGTATGTATGTATGTATGTATGTATATATGTATAAACACAAATATGTAAAAGTTAGGAACCTGAGCGCCTTTTCTGTGTACACATGCTGCACACCTACATTATATACATATAATATATAACATCATATATTATATAAACCATAAACCATGAACCCGTATATACCCTAAACTCTACAAAACCCGAAACCCTTGAAAACACAACCCTGTAAAAACCTGCATGCCTTCGGTCGGGGGTGTCTCCTCCCGGCTGTCGTGCTTGTACAGGAGGTTGCCTGCAGAGAAGAGACGATGAAAATGTGGGACAATGGCACATCCCCGGCCTAACATGTCGAGGATCCTCCACTTCTTCTTCTGCTTGTGCCAACCGAGGATGGCTGCACTGTTGCTCCATGTGGCGTCCTGCATGGAATAAAAAAAGGATGCCCTTTTTGGTTTAAAGGGCCTTATAAGGGAACTGTCCTCGTTCGGCAGCAACACCTCCAGGAGCCCGCACCGATCAAAGGCCCACCATTGCGGTGAGTCCTGACCAGCACACACATCTTTTTGGTTGCATGGGAGACAGGAACCAGGCCTCCGCCACATCAGGGCTGATCATGCAGCTATAACCCGTGCACGACATGGTCTACAGGCTACAGCTGCACACGAAAAAAGCTCGAAGCCTGAGCCACATGTCGCAACCGATACATGAGGAGACCGATGCACGTGCACAGAACCGAGCACCACGAGGAAGCAAGCACTTGCAGCAACCGGCATATTTGGCACATGAAGTTTTTGCATGCCAGCGAGAGAAAATTATGCGACATGTGCACACATGTATATATGTTCCTGCCAACGAGCAAATTGCCCTGCTGACGAAAACCTACTTCCTGCAGGCCTTGGCCCTTTTAGGCTTGATCGTCTTTCGTGGCTTGGCCTCAGAATGCTTGAAGCTGGTCTGGATGTGCTTCACGACATCGTCCTTCAGTTCCAGCCACATAGTCCGAGTGCCCACCCCCTCGAACAAAGTTCGGCATTGGACCTTGTTGCCTCGCCGGGCAAGTCAATCTGAATGCTGTGGGGTGCATAAATGTCATGCTTCTGTGTAGCTTTGAACTCCTTGGTTTTCTTGGTCTTCTTCTGGGCCTTCTCCGGCTGTGGGGCTTCGTCATTCTCTTCATCCTTGAGTCTTTCGGAGATAGCCTCGTTGAATGCTTCTTGGCGACGGGCCAACATGTTCTCGAAGAAAGGTGTGTCGAGTGACAAGTTTTGATTGTCCGTATTCTTCCTCAGATCCAAGCCCTTGCCGTACACGAACCGAAACAATCCTCGATCCCACTTGCTCACTTTGAACCATGTGACTCCCTCGGCCGTCTTTTGTTCCGGGATCCAAGTGAGCCCTGACCCGTATGTGACGATCTGTTTTGTCACCACCGTGGGTGCGGTCATCTCCTCATCTTCCTGCTCCATGCTGGCAAAGCTACGAAATCACGGATGAAGCTGGAGCTGCAAAACTTCGTGAATGACATGCAATCATGAATGCCATGGCTTTTGGCGCTTTTACATGCAATCGTGCTCGCAGTCATGCACACTTGCACACATACACGGGCTCGGGCATCTTTCCTGCAGGCTGCAAGTGCATGTTCTTTCATGTGCATGGATCGTGGTGGGCAGCACAGCTGCTGCATGGTTCAAAGCAATGGAGGAAGTGCCCGTGAGCTCTCTCGGACAGCTGCACACAAAATGGCATGGGATGCATCACACTCGGGCTTCAGGAGTCTCCCGGCTTCTTGGAGCAGATTCGCTTCCTTGGCGGGGTGTCAACCTGCAAGGCCTCGACGTGCACAGTCTTCTCGGCCTTTGGCATATACAGCACATCGTCCTGCTGCAGGTCCAGGGTGTTCTTGAGGATGGGGAGTTGAACCTTCTTGTCTCGATTGGACTTGACATGCGAAACCTCGCAATTCCAAGTGTCACTCACGGGAAGCGGCTGCACAAGGAATGCAGGATTGATGAAGCCAGCATCCCCTTCGGCTTTCGGAATCTGAATGAACGAAACAATCCAGAAGAAGTAGTCACTCATGGGGGCGATGATATCGAAAATCGCATCCTCGGGCTTCTTCTGACCGTGCTTGATCGTCAAACCCATGGGGACCATGATGAGCTTGTTTTTCGGGATGAATGCCGTGGCTTGGACTGACTTACGAGGCTTCAAAGTGACCCTGAGCTTCTGCAGCATGGGATTCGTGTCGTGCTTTTGCATGAGCTCATGCATGTCCATGTACAAGCATGCCAACAGCATCTGTCGCTCGTATTCGGGGAAGTTCAAAGGCGAATACACTGACAAGTCATCCACCGTCTGGGGTTCCGGCTTGGGTGTGTAGACCTGCCAGTGGCCTGCGAGAAAGCTGTCGATCGACACCCGCACTACGGACCCCGAGGGCTGCTTCAGCTTGACACGGCCAAGCTCGATCGCCGTCACCTGGCCAGTTTCCTGATCCGCCTTGCGACGGACATATTGGCCGACTGAAAAGCCGGACTCGGCCATCATCACCGCTGAATCCTTCACCGAGCCGTCGGAGCTCAGCTCCCTCATGATGGCCATGGGTGCTCCCACCTGTTTGGAACCCGATGCCTCACCCGAATCTGCGACCTTGTGTGCCGCCCAGGGCCCATTCAGGTCTGTTTTGAGGATGCCTTCCAAAATCAGGACGAGGTCATGGGCGAGGGATTGGCTTGTCTTATACTTCTTCAAGTCTTCACCGGGCAACATCACATTCAGGGTGAAGGCAGCCAAGGACATGTCCCCATAGGACAAGCAGGTCTGCACTTCGGGTTTCATGAGAAGCTCTGCACCATCCGGCAGGGCCGTCACAAGCTTTCGCCACGTGCTCATGATGGTGTCTGCCTCCTTGACAGAGGCCGTTGAATCCTTGTGCAACATCTTCTTGCACTCGGCAGACCCCACAGCTTCTTTGCAGTATGCAAGCTTCACCTAAGAGCAGCAGCAACAACAACAACAACTAGCAACCTCGGCCTTGCAATCCCATATGTGACCTGTACATGCATGCATGCTTATGAATCAAGTGGCCATGGCATGCCGGAACCGTGGGAATTGGTTGGAACCTTTGACATCGGCACTGACCTTCTCCCAGAAACCAGGTCCCAATGAACGTGTGCTGGGGGAATGCAACCTAACGAAGGTTTCAGTCTCGTTGAGCAAGAACGGATCTGTGCCACCCGCAGTCTTCAACACGAAACTGTAAAGATGCGGCATGGACTTGCCATGCACGGACTTCCCCGTGGTGACTTTGCTCTTCAGTGCCAGGAAGTCCACAGAACCCTGAGAGCTCATCTGGACCCAAGTCTGATGCAGCCGTCTCATCAGTTGGAGCTCGTGTTCGCCACGGTGAAGTGTGGCGTTTCCCATCCTTTGGACAAGTCCCAACAGCTGCGGCAGCTGGGCAGCGACGTGCTTTGACAAGATCTTCCAAACGACTCCTTCGCGAACCGCCCTCGCGAAGTCCGGATCGTGCTTCCGAAGCAGCTCCATGCTGAGTCTTCCATCATGACACACGGTCTCGTCTCCTTCATGCATGACCTCATAGTGGAAGCACCGCAAGACCGAGTTTGTGTGTGACCCTGCCAGGGAGAGTGCTTTGATCATCGTGGGCTCCAGGGGCCCACAGCGATCATGCATGCTTTGGAAGAGACGGACATTCCAATCGATGTCCTCTTGCCCAGTTGGCTCATGGGCGATGGCCTGGACCCTGGCATCAAGCCAGCCGGCTTGAACTATGTCGCCCAGAAGATCGTGGACATCTACGGGATTAATCCCGCTCCCGTCGCGGTTCTGGGAACTGATCCCGACCATGGTCGGTTGAAGCTGCATCGTGTAGACGTGGCCCTGCGACTCAAGCTGGCTGATAGCCGCATGCACCGTCTTTACAAGTCGATCGCCTTCTTGCACCTGTGCCAGCTTGAACGAGACGTCCGCAACGAGATCAGCAGACAAAGCCATGCTGTGTTTCGGAAGCGGTCGGTGTGTGTGTGTGTGTGTGTGTGCAGTGAGTGCTGTCACAGCCAAGATGCTGCATGCAGATATGAACTGTCAGTTTGAAAGTCATGCAAGAATGTCGTGACAGCCTGCCGGCGAGCAAATTGCCCTGCACGACGACTTCCTATATACACATGCAGGGCTTCGTATACCACTGCATGTACACGTGATGCAAAGACTGCAAGTGTAAACACATACATGCAAACACTGCATGAAAGCTGCAAGCATCACTGCATGTCTCTCATGATGGGAGTCTCGACATGGCCAAACATGCTCGGAACACTGAACTCATCACTTGCAAAGAAGCGGGGGGCGGAAGCACCTTTCGATGCCGTCGACGTCGGCAACCACCAGCTGCACCGACCTGCAAATGCTTTGCCCCGATGAAGTTAGGGTACTTATATAAGTACTTATAAATGACTTAGATAACCGATATAACCGTGTCCAAGTACTTATCTTCCACTTACAGCATTTGTCCCAAGTCACTTATAAATGTGCTAAGTGCTTATTAATTCAAACAACTACTTATAACCACCCTCGCTCACTTACTAAGTTCAAAAACACACTTACCCAACATGGTACACTTATAAGTCAAGATAGCCCGATTATAAGTTCACTTGCAGGCTTTACTAACCACCGCAACCCGCCCATTCGGATACTAAACAACACGATCCTTCAAGTAGTCTGTTTGCAACGTGTACAGGTCTGCGCGCCGGGAGTTGAGGCGAACGCGCTCCGGGCGCACAGGCGTACGCGTGCCGGGCGCGCAATCTTGTAGTGGTACCGGCCGGATGTTTAGGGTTTAGGGTTTATGCAAACATGAGCAGCCGGACGAGCCTCCAAACACAATGTCGATCTTGCCAGCGAATTTGGCATGAAGAAGGCTTGACCTCAGGTCGACGAGTTCAGGGTTTAGGTCCAGCAATTTAGTAAGGCACGTCAAGCAATTTGTTAAGCAAGTGAGACGTTTTTCTCACCATTGCTGGTTTATTGTGAGACTGTGTATCCGTACATCAGTCCCTTTTTAAGTTTTTTGTGAGACTGCGTATACGTACAGTCCGTCTATACGTTGAGGACTCTTCCATGCCTGCGAAGCAGAAACCAAAGCTGATCTCTGTACGTGTCCGGCATGCCCAGCAAAACCATTGCCAGGAACCTCACAGCGAACAGTGGACTGATGACTTCGCAATATTGAACCGCCAGCCGTCTAGCATCCGTCACTGGAATCTGTTCAATCTCAAACGACAAAGCCAGAATGCCCTCGCAGAGCCTCACCATAGTTCCTCGATCAGGCAAATCCCAATCCCGGCTCTGCTCAACCAATCCCCGCAATCTCTCTGCATCTACCGGGTTCACTTCCATTTGCAACTTTCCTTGGAGTACGTTGCATTGTCGAACCATGCTTACTTTCTGTATTGTTGGAATCCGTTCCTGCACACCTGCTTCCACAATATCACCTGCAGAGGATCTGCGTCTGTGGTGCCTGGTTTCGAACTGCTGTAACAGTCCTCGTAGTTGCCGATCGGTCAAATCCCGCTCCATTTGCCATCCTGTTGCCAAGTTCACCATGACACATCCCAACACCAGGTCGATGCAGATTAGATTGAATTCCTCTCTCGTAAACATGTTTCCTCCCATCTGCGTAGTGGCATCGGCAGCGGGTCCGTCGCTATAATCCGAAGAATAAGGGGTAGTTGCATCATCAGAATCATCTGAATCAGTTCCTTCAGGTCCATGAAGCCTGCCAAAATCCGTTCGATCCATTGCTGCAATTCTGTGGCAGTACGTCGAACTGGGGCACTTCTTTCCTAGTCTTGAGTTTGACGATCTGCGTGTATGCGCATGTCGATAACACTGCCTTGTTTGCATCAGGACTTGTGCAATCGCCTCAGAGTACTCGCTCAGAAATGGCGCTAGTGGCGCCAAGAATTAAGAAACGGTTCGATCTCGTTGAATCTTGAGCTGAAAAGCTGCTGCAGTCCAACATGTTGAGCTTGGAAGCAACCCACGGTGCAGCCGTCAAGTCTTGGAATGCCGGGAGGAATTAGGCCGGGGCTCTTCGAGGATCGCGATGCGCAGACTGTCTCAGCCTGGCCGCCGACAGACTGAAAGTGAGCAGAGGGATACTGATGCCATGCATGACTTTCCTTCTCTTCCTTCCCTTCCCGCCTCCCTCACATCACTCCTTGCTGCCTGCTCATTCCTCACATCTACAGTCACACCCTCATCTTGATCATTCCTTCTTCCTTCCCTGCTTCCTTCCTTCCTTGCTTGCTGCTTCGTTAATTATTTTCGCTGTCTCTCTCTCTCTCTCTCTGCATCTGTCTTTGAGGGTCCGGCTCACCCTTGCTCGGGGTTCATCCTCGCCCCTGTTCGGGGTTCATCCACACCCCTGCATGGGGTTCGCACGACCCTTGTTCGGGGTCCAGGCTCACCCCTTTTCGGGATTCATCGGTACGCCCCTGTGCGGGGCTGTAACGACCCCTGTTCGGGGTCCAAGCTCACCCCTGTTCGGGGTTCATCCACACCCCTGCACGGGGTTCTCACGACCCCTGTTCGGGGTCCAGGCTCACCCCTTTTCGGGGTTCATCCCGCAGCCCCCTTCGGGCTTGGTGCGGGTACGCCCCTGTACGGGGCTCCGACGACCCCTGTTCGGGGTCCAAGCTCACCCCTATTCGGGGTTCATCCCGCGGCCCACTCAGGCCTTGGCGCGGGTACCTGTACGGGGCTCCGAAGACTCCTGCTGTGGCCACCTGACATCCTGACAGGGCCTGCACGAATGCCTACAACTACTTTTGCCTGCTACCTTTTAGGGTTTAGGGTTGAAGGTTAGTTTAGGGTTTCGGGTTTTGGATTTAGGGTTCAGGGTTTAGGGGTTTAGGGGTTAGAGGTTTAGGGGTTAGGGGTTTAGGGGTTTAAAACCTCTTTCCTCATAATGCCTCCTTACCTACATGCCCGCCTACCTAGCTATCTATCTACCTACCTACTGACCTGGAAGCCTGCCGACGCACCTACACCTACAAGTACCTTCCCTCCTGCCTATCTACTTATCCATACCTACTTGCCTACCTAACTATACCTCTCTACCTACCTGTGTGCCCCTTCCTACCTGCAGCTTCTGGGCTTGAATGGATGGGCGGGTTTGGGGGTTGGATAAGTTTAGAGTTTAGGGTTCAGGGTTTAGGGCATGGGCTGGACGTTACGAAAGTTCAGATTCCCTTCATGTTTAATCATGAACATGCTAATTTTCAAGTCGTTGTGAATCATACAAAAAGCTGACTTTAGGGTTTCAGAACATAAAATTTGAAGTTTCTTGTTTTCGTTGAGCCACAAGAACACCAAGTTGCATTTGTTTGGTTTGCTCGGCACAAACGAATCTTCAAAATATTTTGATCTTCAAAAATATCTTGCAACAAACAAATTCCATGTGAACTACAAAACTTGGGACAGGCAATTATGTCAGTATGGCTTTGATTTTTCGATGTACATGTTTTCACATTTCGATCAAACCAAGTTTCAGGCATTGATTTTTCTATCGAGCCACAAGCACACATCTTTTTATACATGTCCAGGTATGCATCTCCATTTGGAAGAGACCAAGTTTTCAGGTTTTGTTTTTCCATTGAGCCGCAAGAACAACACAAGTTTTCACATGTCCAGCATGTCTTCCATTGAGCCACAGGAACACATGTCTTGCTACATTCCATGTCACATCCAACATAATAAGTCCTAGGACCCGGTTCCATAATGGAAAGGACCCGGTTAGCCCCGGACTGGCATATTTGGTATGATCTCTTCGGTGCATCGGACGTCTTGCTGGAGGTAGCTTCCCAAGTCTGTTCTGATATCAGTGTACGTGCCCTTGCTTGAACAGCGACCGAGCCTTCCCGGCAAGCCTCCTCCAAGAGCCTCTCATCCTCTGCGGCCCTCTCTCTGCTCTCACGAACAGGACCTCGCACTCGGTTGCTGCTTATCCAAAAACATGCGCGCCACCCACCACGGTGGCGCTCAGGTGCCATCTATGAAGAAGCACGAGCACGACTGCCAGGTAACGGCCGGCTTCCCAATACGGGTCACGTGACCTCTTACCTAGTCTAAATACACATCTGAAACGAATCCTTTGATTATGCAAGTTATGCGCAAAAAGCCGATGACGCGTGCTTCGACCCGAAATGGCTGCAGAAAGCGACGTCCTAAAGCGGTCCACCGAAACGCATGGCGACTGCACACACAGATTGACTGCACGTTCAGCCCTGTCCTTGGGCCCGCACCGTGTGCCGTCTGCCGGCAGTGTGCTTCGACCCGAAATGGCTGCGGAGGGCGACGTCCTAAAGCCGTCCACCGAAACGCATGGCGACTGCACACACAGATTGACTGCACGTTCAGCCCTGTCCTTGACCGTGTGCACACAGGGATTGACTACACGTTCAGCCCTGTCCTTGGGCCCGCACCGTGTGCCGTCTGCCGGCAGCGATCACGAGAAGCATCCGCGTGTATGCGTGCGTGCGCGCCTGTATGCGTGTATGCGTTTATGCATGTATGCGGGTATGTGTGTGTGTGTGTGTGTGTGTGTGTGTGTGTGTGTGTGTGTGTGTGTGTGTGTGTGTGTGTGTGTGTGTGTGTGTGTGTGTGTGTGTGTGTGTGTGTGTGTGTGTGTGTGTGTGTGTGTGCGTGTGTGTGTGTGTGTGTGTGCGTGTGTGAGTGCGTGTGAGTGCGTGCGTGCGTGCCGTGGTGCGTGTGTGCGTGTGTGGTGTGTGCGTGCGTGCGTGCGTGGTGTGTGCGTGTGTGCGTGTGTGCGTGTGTGCGTGTGCGTGTGTGGTGTGTGTGTGTGTGAGTGTGTGTGTGTGTGGTGCGTGTGTGTGTGCGTGTGTGTGTGTGCGTGTGTGTGTGTGCGTGTGTGCGTGTGTGCGTGTGTGCGTGTGTGCGTGTGTGGGTGTGTGTGGTGTGTGTGTGGGTGTGTGGTGGGTGGGTGGGTGTGTGGGTGTGTGGGTGTGTGGGTGTGTGGGTGTGTGGGTGTGTGGGTGTGTGGGTGTGTGTGTGTGTGGGGGTGTGTGTGTGTGGGTGTGTGTGTGTGTGTGTGAAGTCAGGAGAATATGCGTCTGTGTGTGAGGTGAGGAGGAGGCGGAGGAGGCGGAGGAGGACGGGGAGGAGGAGATGGAGAAGGAGGAGAAGAAGGAGGAGGAGGAGGCGGGACAGCCCCGAAAAGTAAGAACCCCACACAGTGATGTGGGGAATTACAACAAAGCTTTAAAGATGTGAACAAGTGCCATCGGGTACGTAGCCGACAACCAGTTCGTTTTCTGTAGGATGTGTAGGCACGGCTTGGTTCTGAGGTTCTTCACTTTAGAATATGTGCTCTTTTTAGGAAGCATTATGAGCATCAGCATCGTGTAAACAAGCTGAACTCAGACACGACGTGTAAAGTCTCAAAACTCTGCGATCATTTCGTCGGGAAGCGACGACGCGCGCTCAAACACCGCATCCATATGGCCCGATCGAGAATGCAGAACGCAGAATGTGTAAACTGAGCACTTGGCTTCAAACAGCATCAGACAGTGTACCCGGAGCCGAACGGAAAAACCTAACTGAAAAAACCTAAAAAACCTAAACTCGGGAAGTCCTTCAGCGAGATATCCATGACAAGACTCTCGAGATTTAGGTTTTTTAAGTTTTTTAAGTTTTTTCAGTTAAGTTTTTTTCAATTAGGTTTGTCAGTTAGGTTTTTCAGTTAGGCTCCCTAAACCCCCAAACCCTTGCCCTGGGCCCTTGAAGAACAACTGTGTAACGACGTTGTCGACGGCGCGTACATGAAGCACACGAAAAAAGTGGATCCATGGGGGGGTGGGCACCATATATATATATATATATATATATATATATATATATATTTAGAATCATATCTATATATATATATATGAAATTCTAAACCCTATATGTATATGCGTTCAACACTATCATACAACTATAAGTTGTCTATGTACATATGTGTCTATGGAAAGACCCATCCCTGTAAACCCTAAACGAAAACCCTAAACCCTAGGAAGCCTAAACCCTACAAACCCTAAACCCTATAGAAAGCCTAAGCCCTGCCTGAAAGTTTACAATAAAGAAACCTTATAGAAACCCACAAGCCCAAGCACTGCAAGACACAGATTTTTTGCTCCCCATGGAAGATCCTGTCATGGTGCACGAGGAAGAGTGGCCGAGGATGGCTGCATGGATGGGAGGGGCTCAGCTGCTGGGCTCTGCAGTGGCATCCTCCTCATGGATCTCCTGGTGCAGGGCTTGGAAAAATCATTAATAGCCCACTCAGGCCAAGACGGGTCCTCAAACTCGGTGGGCTGGTGGTCGTCGCTGCCGTGCTCCACATGGTTCTGGTCCTGGTCGTTCTCTGGAGCATCCTCGTTGTCTCCCTCGTCCTGGTCGGAGTCTGGTGCAGCCTGGTCCTCTTCCTCGTAGTGGTCCTGCTCATGGCCCCATGGCTCTGCAGCCTGCTCCTATTCCTCGTAGTGGTCGTCCTGGTCCCATGGCTCCTGGTCATCCTCCACCTGGTTCGCAGCGTGGGTGGGACCATACCCATAGGGTGGCCTTGTGCACTGGATGAAGCACCAGTGACTTGGTTCAGGGTACTGGCAGTTATTCCAAAACCCATGGTGTGGGTTTTCCCAAGGAGCCCATGGCTGCTGAGCACTGTGGCTCCTGGTGGCACCGTCCACCCTGTAGCATGGCTGCGGGCACTGTGGTCGCCAGTCAGTGGGGTGCCTGGGTATGCATGCATTCCCGCTGACAACCAAGCTTGGGCAGTGGGTGGTGCCTTTGGAGTGGGAGCTTTGGCCACTGGGGCCTGAGCTGGCACCGTTGGGTTGGCCGCTGCATGGGCCGCTGGGCCTCAGCTGGCACCGTTGGGTTGGCAGCTGGGGCTGACCTGGCCGTTGGGTTGGTCGGTGGGGCCTTCGGGGGTGGTCCCTGGGCATTGCTCTTGGGAGCGGCACCGCACATGGAGATGGTGGTGCAAAAGGCAAAAAGCAAAGCTGGCCGCAATGGCAAAAGTGCTGGAGCACGAAAAGGCTGCATCATTCACATTTGCACTGCAACGGCCAGCACAAGATTGCAGGAACAACAATTCTAAACTGTGCTTGTGTCTATACATACCAATTGCGGCCACATCCACATAATTCTATACATATATACACATATATATATATATATGCATACTATTTTGGTGTGTATATATAGAAATATCTATATATATATATAGTAAGACATCTAGAAACATGTCATGTGCTCCTACCGAAATAGCGAGCCATCAAAGGCGAAACCCTGGCAAGGAGTCTGGAAATCTGTATGCTTGGAGCCTTGGGCCGAGATAGGCTTGGAGCCTTAAGGGGTGAGATATAGGCTACGGGCCTTCTGACAAATGAAGGCTTGGACCCTTTGAGGCTCTATAGATCTGGAGCCTTGAACCTTTAGGCTTGGAACTTGGGAGGCTGCTGCAATCGGCCCCCCCTCTTTTTTGCTCCGCAAGCCTCTGCTCCGAGCTGGTCCAAGTGGTTTAGCGCCACTGGAGTTTGGCCCCGTGGTCCACATAGGACTTGAACCACAGCTGGCCGCACACACTGCACAACTTCTTGTGGTAGAGCTTGTGGGCCCAGATCCAGCTGGGACACTCTGGCTTGGTGCAGTGGAGAGCCAGGTGGCCCCCAATGGGCTCCTCGAAGTCTGGCTCCTCGTCGAAGCCTGGGCCAAGCATGGCCTCGAGCTGGGCCTTGGTCATGGCCTCCTCCTTGGGCTCCATGGCCGGCTTCTCCTCTGGCTTCTTGGTGGTCTTGCTGGTGGCCGGCTTCTTCATGGAGTGCTTGGAGACCTTGGCCTTGGACTCCTGCTGGGCCTTCATGGCGGGTGCCTGCGGGGTCGTTATGTGCCCTTTAGATATCTAAAGCAGGACCCAAATGGAGACCCTACACCGGCCTTGGGGGCCATCTTGGAGGGCTGGTGGCTTGGGGGCGCTATGGGGCAGGCCAACACTTGGCAAGAATGGCTGCAGCATCCGCACACCATTCAAGAATCTCATGCAAGGTCTCGTTCACTCTCTCTCTCTCTCTCTCTCTCTCTCTCTCTCTCTCTCTCTCTCTCTCTCTCTCTCTCTCTCTCTCTCTCTCTCTCTCTCTCTCTCTCTCTCTCTCTCTGCTTCTGTCTATAAAAAAACATCATCTGCCATCTGGGCCACTGCAAAGCGAACCGGCCACATTGGCAAATTAAGAAAGAAATGGTGCAAGCCACATCGGCCGATATATATATATATATATATATATATAAAAGATGCAAGCCTGGCAGTACAGATACGGATGTGTACATAAAGGCAATCAAAAAATGAATATATATATATATATATATATATATATATGTATATGTATAAGTATAAAAATGTATGTGCGTGTATATATATATATATATATATATATAATATACACATACATGCATAGCCTGTATTTATGGACATATAGACTGGCCACATTGGCATTCTATAGCAAAACTTCAGAGATGCAATATATACACAAACATATGTATACACAGGTATATATCATACATGTACATCTACAGAAAATTCTACACGACTGCAGAAAAAATCCCTTGATAAAACAACTGTATATATATATATATATATTAATACATATATTTCTCTGTGGGTGTGTATACCATGCATCTAGACATCATTTCTTTGTTGACAGAAAAGAATGGCATGCTGCACGTCTGTCATGACCAGCAGCATCGATACACATGCTTCTATATACACATGCCTATATGCCTGCAAGCACATGTTTTCACACCATCCAGGCATGCTGATGGCTGGTGCAGAAGCTCTTTGATTATTCTGGTGAGATCAGCATTGGAGCCTTGGTCACCATGGGTGGCTTCATGCACAGCCACCAATTGAGCTTGAAGCCAGGTTTGGAAGGACGTGGATGCCGTGGATGGCTCCATGGACACTTGGAACTCCTCCATGGTCTCGCGGGCATGGAGAAGAAAGGTCCGCACCCGGAGGCTGGCACCGAACCACATGGGCACCCACTTTGGGTTCAAGCGGAGAGGAGTGCCGGTTATGCCGGTGGTGCCGCTGGTCCTTTTGCCCGCAAAGTGGTCCTGCCTCACCAAACATCTGCTGGAATGGGTGCCACCTTGGCTGCACTTCCTGCAGCATTTGGTTTGGCCCAAGTTGGCAAACCGCTGGCAGCCTGGAGTTTCGCATGGCTCAGGGGCGGCTGGTGCAAGCTCCATGATGGATTGCTGTGGACAGCCTCTGGCCTTGTCTGGCAAACAGCTGCTGTGCATGGACGAAGAAGAATTATACCACACACACATCGCACAATTCATGCATGCTGTCCATTCATGGAAAAGCCTCATGGCACATGCATGCAACAATGCACCCCTGCCCTTTCTCGAAACACCTTTGCTAACCTTTCTTCTCCAGCAAAACTCTGGCGGCTGGCTTCAAAACCCGCCATGGTCTTTGGGTCTTTAAAAGTGGAGCCCGCTCCTTGGGCCTGCACAAGCTCTTCACTTCTTGGCCTTCTTGGAAGGAGGCTCAGACTGCTCTGCTCTTTGGCCTTGGCCTTCGCCTTGGCCTTGGCTTTGGCTTTAGGCTCGGCCTCTGATGGCTCTGGCTCGCCGTGGTCTGCTTCGGAAGCTTCGGCATGGGCCGCCAGGAACAAAAGCGGCTGGTGCTGCTCCAGCGGAGCAGGATTCTCCAAGCATGGGATGGTAATCCCAATCTCGACGACCGTGGAGTGAACCATGGTGACCTCGGAGGTCTCGCTCGTGGGCTTGCACCAGAAATATGGAATCAAGCAAAACGCACTGTCTGCTTCGAACTGCGCATTCTGGCGGAAGGGCCCAATGGTCCAGCTGTGGCCGCCGTGCTGGATGAGGAGCTTCGTTTCCTTGGCGGTCGACTTGGCTTTGTTCACCGTGCCCAGTGGAACCAAACGAATGGTTTTGCGAATTGCCTTGATCGCAAACAACCCCTGGGGGTTCTGGCCGAAAGCGATGGTCTGGGCATCCACATGGTGCCTTTCCGCCGCTCTGTGGAGAGCCAGCTGGACCTCCGACCTGGCCCGCTCCTCCAACAGAAGCTTCGCCATCATTCCTTCCCTGGCAAGATCCTGGGACCACAACATCGGCATCATGGCCTTGGTGGCCTTCCACATTGGCAGCTTCTGCAATGGCACATGGACTTCTTCCTCATCTTGGAAGAGTGGCTTGTGAGTCATGCTGGCATGGTCGTCCGTCATATCCGTCAGCTTGAACACCTTGGCACCGTGCTCCTTGGTGGTGTACCTCAGCACTTGGCATCAAGGAATCTATCCACATCTGCATAGATTCCTTGTCTATATGCTTATGTATATACTCTTACAAGGATATTCTGGCTATAGGCCAATTGCTAGCTTCCGCTCCAAGCAACAACTTGCCCATTTCCATGTGGTGGTTTTGGAGCAAAGCTATGGTCTTGTGCCTGGCCGCCAAGACATCCGTCACCTGCATGCCCGTCTGTGTGCTGGCCTGGTCCGCAATGGCATCTCCCGCCGAGCTGTCTTGGATCTCCTTGGTATAGGCAGTCAAGATGGCTTGGAGAGATTGCCAGTGCTTGGTTTCCCGGCCTGCCCTTTGTTTGTTCGTCAGGAACAAACAAACTCTGACTGCAAATCGACCAAAGCATTTGGTTAAGTGGGACGAATGGTGGGTCTGGTCCACAAGAAGATCCTGTTCGACCTTCCAAGCCTCTTGGAGCATAGTTTTTGGAGATCGTTGTTGGATAGGATGCGGCTGAACCCGTCTTGGGATTTTGGGCTGGTCAACATGGTAGCCCATGCCGCCACACGAAGCATGGGAAAGATGCACGTCGCTTGCCTGAAATCTAGCGACACCAGGGTGGACATGAGCTCGGTTCCCACCAAAAGTGTGGCATTAAACTGCTTCCCAAAATTGGCAAGGAAATGGAGGAGTGGAAACCCCTGGCTGCCACCGCCGAAGTTCTGGACGAATTTGGCGATGGCGGGGACACTGGCACGGCATCTCATGTCGTCGCTTTGGCTGGCCTGCTGGATGGCATCTGGAAGGCTCAAGCCCTTCTCAAATGCAGTGGCCACATGGAGGGCAACCTCCAACTCGTTGATGGCTTTGGATATTGAGTTCGACGAGTTGGCAGCATGCTGAATAAAGTTTGGAAGTTGTGGCATGGCTTCCTCAATGGATGCTGCCAGCACGATCCAGCACCATCCTTGCTCGATGGCTCGCCATGCTGGGTCCGACTTGGCAATGGCGACGTGGTAGCCCTCTGGCCCCTAGATCCCAGCCTGCAGGCATCGGAGGAAGGCCACACTGTGGCCCCCTGCAAGGGAGAGGAAGCCTGAGCGGCAGGGAACCAAACATCTATACAGGGCTTATAAGGGTCAAGAAACACCAAAGAAACTTCAAAACATTATAAGCATGCATGAGCCAGGTGCCTTCCTGGCCACTCACTGGTGCCAGATGGCCCTTGGCCTCAGAGACCAGTTGGCTGTTGGCTTGCACTTGGGCAAGTCTCTTGGTCTCGGCCGTGGCCATTTGGGTGCAGATGGTCTGGCCGTCGAGCAGCTTGGGCTGGAAGGCGACACTGGTCATCTGGCTGCCCTTGGACCAGACGTCGTAGTAGGACACCATGGACTTGCCTCGGTTTTCTGGGTGGACCAAGAGCTGACTTGGAGTCAGAACTTGGTCGTGGGCAAGGCCATGTGTCCTTAGAAGCTGGACGATCTGGTCCACCTTCGAATTCACTGGCGCAGTGGAAGCCATCATGGCCTCCACTTCTTGGACCACCTTCTCTGGCACACCAGCCATGGCAAGAAGCTTGGAGTGCAGGCCAAACGTGGCAGAGGCAAAACTGGGCAGTCTGGGCCCAAACTGATGGTATAGAAACTTGACGTGTGGACAAATCTTCCCTCTTACTCCTATAATGCATGGCTTACTCGCAGAGGCGCTTTTTTCAATCCCAAGCGGTGGGTCGCAGCTGCAGTGGTCGGAAGCCTACTGCTTCTTCTTGGCCTTCTTCTTGGGCTGCTGCATGTGGGCCTCCAATTCTTCAACACTGGCACGAACGTGGTCGATGATGGCACCGATGGTGTTGCAATCCAGTGGCACTACCAAGTCTGCAGCCTTGGGCCGGCGGCGATCTTCTGGGAGCAGGCATGGAATAATGGTGTTCCCCACGTGGATGTTGATAGTTTCTGGGAGGTTTTGGATCTTGTGACGCCTGGGCTGCTTCTGGGGTTCCCCATCCTGGTCTTCGAAGAGTTGGTTGGCCTCGTCGCCCTGGTCCTCGTCGCCGTTGGCATAGCGATCCATGGCCTTGTTGCGAAGCTCCTGCAACTTCTTGAAGGGCTCGTAGAAGGTCAAGCTGGCTCTGCTGGGATTTTTGGCCCCTGTGAGCAGCTGCACGATGGGCAAACTGGAGGCTCGCATCTGCAGAAACTTTTGGCCACTGGAGCTTTCGACAATCAAGTACTGGGGAATGGTGACGAATGGCTCGTTTTGGTATTTCACGACGACATGGCTGTCAATGGTGACCATGGCTTGTGCAGAAGCGGGAGAACGGGCAGGCCAAATCGGATGGCTTGGGTTTGGAAACCTCACGAAAGTATCACAGAATTCTCACAACACTCATGTTGCATTCCTGTATCAATATCAATTTTCCAGCCACATGGCGATCTACCACTTGCAAGCCAACATGGTTTCGGGAAAAAAACTCGGTCTGTGGTTTTGGCATGGTTACGAAGCTCATGGCCAAACCTGGCAATTAAACCCTAAACCCTTTTCGATCATATCATTTCAATCATTTACAGTTAAAAAAACATAGGAGGGTCCTCTTCTTTTTGGTGACAAGCGCGTTTTGTCGCAGCTTCGGACTCGCGTTCACCGCGTCCGCCACAGATTCTAAACCCTAAACTCTAAACCCTTTTCGATATTTGGTTCCTGGAATATTCAAGAAAAATGGGAGAATTCGGCTTCCGTCGGGCTCACTGGCGATTCGGGCTAATTTCGCCGGTGTCGGCTTCTAAAGAGAAAACCTTAAACCCTTTTCGATCATATCATTTTAGGAGTTGTATAATTAAAAAACATAGGGGGGTCGTCATCTTGTTGGGACAAACGCGTTTCGTGGCAGCTTCGGACTCGCGTTCGCCGCGTCCGCCGCAGACCCTAAACCCTAAACCTTGAACCCTGTTCGATATTTGGTTCCTGGAATATTCCAAGAAAAATGTGAGAATTCGGCTTCCGTCGGGCTCACTGGCGATTCGGGCTAATTTCGCCGGTGTCGGCTTCTAAAGAGAAAACCTTAAACCCTTTTCGATCATATCATTTTAGGAATTGTATAGTTAAAACACATAGGGGGGGTCGTCATCTTGTTGGGACAAACGCGTTTCGTGGCAGCTTCGGACTCGCGTTCGCCGTGTCCGCCGCAGACCCTAAGCCCCAAACCCTACCTGTAGCCTGTGGGTCCTGCGTTTTCGCAGGCCGTACTTTCAGAGACGTGTTCTCGAATTAAGAACCTGGCTTTTAACACCCTGTGACCCGTAATCCGGCCCGGGACCCGTATTCTGTAGTGTGGCCCTTGTTTGGTGCAGTAAGCTTGCCCAGCGGATCAAATGGATCAAGTGACAGCTGCCACATGATGCACAGCTGCAGTGGCTTGTTCTGTATAGGCTTAACAGGGCTTATATTACTTTCCTACACCCCACATAACTTACCTTTGCTAAGACTTCTATATAAGGAAATCATATTACGGAGCCTTGACATGAAGGTTTCATAGGGTCTATATAGGGGAATGTAAAGATTTGATAGATAGCTGATGTGGTTTATATTCTCTCCAGGCTTACTACGCTTAAACTACTGCGAAACTTTACAGAATTAATGGTTTATGAGAGATCAAGAGAATAGATAGGGAAGGAAGAGAGGAGAGCCACTGCCCGCAGCAGTGGCGACGCATGGGAGGCCGGAGCCTGCCACGGGAACTTGAAACTTCTTTCATGATTGGGGACAAGGATCCCAGGTCTGTATGGGTTTATTGGGCTTGAAAGCTTTAGGAGTTCTATAGGGTTACACAGTTGTTATGGTGCCATACCCGAAACAGTCGCAGCTACTGAGAATCAGCTTCGACCATCTTATCATGTTGCATGCTTCGACTGCTGCTCCTGCGACCATGCAGCTTTTGAAGCTAGGTACTGCTCGGGGTATACAGTCTCGATCGTTTTTGATCATTCCAGCATGGAGAGGGTTTCCTTGACTGGCGTGCACAAGGAATGGGAGGGGTGTGAAGGAGTACGTGCCTACTATCGTAACAACCACCGCCTCTTCGGGGGTTACGAAGACGGTTGCTGTGATCCGAAGTGTGTGGTGGTTACTGCTGGTTTGAACAAGCTTGTGCTTAATCCACTTCTGAAGCGCATGGCTGTCACTGTTGGCCGTCAGCTTTACACCATCAAGATGCTTGAGACGGAGCGGCTTGCTATGCATTTTCTTCTTTTTCCACTCAATCTCTATATAAACAAGTTCTCGATCATTGCAGGGACATCAACACATGCAAGACAAACAGCTACATAAGGATCAAAGCTCTCCACAAGTTGGTTTTCCCAAACCACGAGATTGTGAAAGCAGATGTCAAGAAAGATGCCTGGCTGGCGAGATCATTCGCAGTTCTCGTCAAGAGGAAGTTGACAAGGGGAAAGAGGAGCGGGAACCCCGATTTCAACGAGCTTCTGGACATCTTGAGGGGCGGTAGTCCCGTTCTTTGGATGTTTCTTTATTGTCCTACTTTTGCTTATAAGGTATGTATATACTGCTATTCCATGCAGGTAAGTACAAGGGTCTTTCGGAGGCTTAACAGATCATCCGGCATTGCCAGGTCGACCCTGATGACCATCGTGATTCTGACGATGATGGGGATGATGATGATGCTGATGATGATGGAGATGATTCGCCTGGTGTGCCAGCGGGTGACCTTTCTGGCGAGCAGCTTGACGAGCTGGACCGCGAGCTTGGTTTGGGCTCTGGCTCGGAGGCCATGGTCGAAGCTGTTTCGCCTGCAGATGGTGATCTTCTGGAGGAGTTTTTGGCCGAGTCTCCAGCAGTTGAGCCAGCCACCCTGGGAAACACGATGCCCGATGATGATCCCTTGGCGGAGATGTTGGCCGAGTTTCCGTCGCCAACGGATGCGGCAGCTGATGCTTCGACTGCCAAGCCAATGGAGGGTCGTCGAAGTGCTTGAGTCTCCTGTGAAGGCTGAGACGGTGTCACCGGAGAGGACCAAGAAGCAGCCAAAGGCGCACGTGTTTGAGGATGGCGAGCAGCTGAGGAAGGTTTCAGAAGAGCTTGCAGCTTTGAAAGCCAAGCAGAGCCAGAGGCAGGTTTGGGCAGGTTTGAATATGATTTTGCATTCAGGGGGCGGTTTCCAATGTTGGTGAAGGTTTTCGCTGTTCTGTGCTGGCAGGGCCCAGATGCTCAAGGACGCCGCAACATCTCTGGCTGTGGCAGGTGGCTGCAGTCGATGGTTATCTGGAGAACAGTCTGTAATTTTGCTACATTGGCTGTCTTTGTGAGTTGATGCTATGTGCCCCAAAATACACAATCAATCGATGAATTTGGCAGGTGATGCTGATGGCAAGAGCCTGTGCAAGCTGCTAGGCCTTTCGGAACCTTCGTCCGGAGCAATACTCCAACGTTGGAGTAGGAGCGTGCCCTAGCAGGGAGCTGCTTACTCCAACGTTGGAGTAGGAGCGTGCCCTAGTAGGTGCTTACTCCAACGTTGGAGTAGAAGCGTGCCCTAGTAGGGGGCTGCTTACTCCAATGTTGGAGTAGGAGCGTGCCCTAGCAGGGAGCTGCTTACTCCAACGTTGGAGTAGGAGCGTGCCCTAGTGGGGGCTGCTTATACTCCAACGTTGAATTAGAAGCGTGCCCTAGTAGGGGGCTGCTTACTCCAACGTTGGAATAGGAGCGTGCACTAGCAGGGAGAGTAGGAGCGTGCCCTAGGAGTAGGAGCGTGCCCTATAGCGGGCTGCTTACTCCAACGTTGGAGTAGAAGCGTGCCCTAGCAGGGGGCTGCTTACTCCAACGTTGGAGTAGGAGCGTGCCCTAGCAGGGGGCTGCTTACGGAGTAGAAGCGTGCCCTAGTAGGGGGCTGCTTACTCCAACGTTGGAGTAGGAGCGTGCCCTAGCAGGGGGCTGCTTACTCCAACGTTGCAGTAGGAGTGTGCCCTAGTAGGGAGCTGCTTACTCCAACGTTGGAGTAGGAGCGTGCCCTAGTAGGGGGCCCGGAGTAGGAGCGTGCCCTAGCAGGGGGCTGCTTACTCCAACGTTGGAGTAGGAGCGTGCCCTAGCAGGGGGCTGCTTACGGAGTAGAAGCGTGCCCTAGTAGGGGGCTGCTTACTCCAACGTTGGAGTAGGAGCGTGCCCTAGCAGGGGGCTGCTTACTCCAACGTTGCAGTAAGAGTGTGCCCTAGTAGGGAGCTGCTTACTTTGGCGGGTTTTTGCTTTGGTCAGTTATAACTCGAGATATACTGGACTTGTTAAGTCGAGTTATCTCGGACTTATAAGTGGAGTTTTGGTGGACTTATAAGTCGGACTTATAAGTGACTTATAACTCCGAAATTGGGGATTTAGCGAGCACACATTTCGGGGTTTAGCGAGCACCATTTTGCGATCATGAGGGGTGCAAAAACTCGTCACGAGAAGATCATTTTGAGGTATATAGGCGGTCAGAAAATGGGTTTGGTGAGCACCATTTTGGGATCATGAGGGTCGCAAAAACTCGTGACGAGAAAACCATTTTGAGGTATATAGGTGGTCAG